AAATATAATTCATCTTCTGTGAGATTTTTGTAATTCCCGTTTCTCTCTGTCAAAAGAGCATGTTCCTGGATGGTGAGGGATGGATTTGTACCTTGATCTTACATAGTTCGTACAGCATATTTTTTGTGAAGTGAACATAATAAATTCAAACTGATGTTTGAAAAAACCCAGAAATAAAGTGTAGTCATAGGCATCCGTGTTCTCCAGTACCTGTGGCCTTTTAACAGGCTAAATTTCTGATTTGCATTGTCCCTTTACAGTTGTTGCCACTGCTCAGTTTGAAATTCTTCATGAAATAAAAAAAGTTACCTATGTGGAAGTCTTCCCCATGCTGGCATGTCCTTCTGGCGATGGAGCACTGGCAGCTTGTAGCTATTTTCTCTATAAATATAATCACAAGCATGTAGAGCCATTCTGATAGGCATTTAGAGTTAATTTGCTGTATAACGTAAGTCTTCTAAATACATTTGCTGTTGTAAGTCTCTTGAAGCTCTTCAGCGACATGGTGGATTTTTCACTGGAGTTCAGAGCCACCTCGCGGCGGCCCCGCCAGCATGGATGCCCGCATTCCTTACGGCTCCAAAACTGGAAAGCTCCACCTCTGGGGTGGCAGCAGGAAAAGCTGCAAGTACTTTATAGATCGTGAGAAGTGCTGCTTAAATATGCTTTTTAATCCGTTTTTATTTGACTTTGGGTGGCATGAAGAATCGTGCCTGGATATTTGGGTTTGTCTTTCCATGAGCAAAACACTTCATTAAATAGAAAAAAGAATCATCCAAATGAGCAATTATGTTGATCACCTCATCTGTGCTGTGCCATGAACAGTAGGGAAATATGCGGCTTATTCATTTCAAAGCACAGGGCTCTCTTGTTCACTCAGGGTGCTGCTAGCAATTATCCATGTGCCTCGGTGCAGAGAAAGCAAAGTGGCCCGCATTCATACTCTTTAACTCTTTCAGACTTCAAAGCAGGGTGGCCTCATCCAAACTGTCTGCTGGTCCCAACTTCCAAACTATGCTAAGGAAATACTCTGCAAAGGTCCAACTAACCCAAGTCAAACCCATAGCAGGGGCTCTTCTTGTGCTTGAACAGCGCAGATACAGTTCCAGCACCCAGTTATGGCCTGAGCCATAACTGCTTAATTTTCTAATGAAGTTTTGCATCTGTAGTCTTCCACACAGTTACGCTGAAGCCAAAGGGCCTGATGTTTCATCTCTGACCTTGCAAGAAAGACTGCAGTAAGTCTACGTAATTCCTTGAGCTAGGGTTTCAAAAGCTTTTTTTTTTTTCTTTTCAGAGGCTTTATATTGGGAGGCCCAGCCCTGTGACTTGCTTAGGCTGAGATCACACTCATTTCACTGTCCTAGGGTAAACTCCAGCAATGGACTCTAGAGGGAACATCTAAGTCACTGTGGTTATCACACATTTATACTTAAATGTGTAATACTTGGGACTTGATCATGGCCTGGGTTTCATACTTAATGTAAATTTGCTACATGCCACCTTTCTCCTGCAGTGGATTTAGCCCATAAATATGGGTGCACTATGTGGTACCTGCCCTGAGCTGTCTAAGTGGAAGTGAAGAGGCCCTTAATTTGTATTATCTTTTCAATTATATATATTTGCTTCTCTTCTCTGGAGCATTCTTTCTTCAGCCCATACGTGGAAAGCATGAAGTGAGCCGGTTTCAAGAACAGTGGAAATCAGGAGTAAAGCTGTACACAGGAATCCTTTTCTCTTCTTGCTTGGATCGATGCATCGGGGAAAATGGGAATCTGAGCAGCATCGCAGTGCTGCGAGTGCAGCAGAAAGAGGAACAGCAGCAGTACTGTAAATGAGCACAGTGGATAATAATCTGCGGAAGTGCTTAGGCTTCTTCTTGGGGTGGTGACTGAGAACAGGTGGAAAACCCGTAAAGAAAATAATGAAAACAGGCTCTGGGATGGGGTGGCTTTTTCCTCTCCTTGGGGAATTTTGTACAGGACCAATTCTGTATTCAAGCGTGGTTGTGGTCTGGAAGGCACCAGGGAGTGTAGCCAGCTCACGTATTTTAGGGCTGAATTTGAACTTTATGTTGTAATTTTTATATTTTCTGATCAAATTTGCATGATAGGTTAAACTTGCTTCTTTAAGCAAGCTGAAACTTCACTTCCAGTAAGCCCTAAATGTGCACTCTCTAAGCAGAGCATTAGTTCTGCTGCACCACGTACATCTGTATGATTGATGAAGAAAGTATGAAGTAGGAGAAAGAAGACGCCACTTCTTTGCTTTCATTGCTTGTGCTGGTGGTTTTGAGATTAAAACTCAGCCTTTTGTTTTTTACTTGATTTAATCCAATTAGCATTTTTTGTTGCTGAGAAGACAATTCCAGTCAATTATTGGAGATTGTTTCCAGATTATATTCCCCCCTGCTCTTTTTGCTAAACAGATTTTCTAAAGGGCATGTCTGTAACTCAGATAATTTGTGTTCAAGCATAAATCTGTAGCAAAAGCGTGAAAGCTCAGTGGGGAAGGTAATCTTTCTCCTTTTTGTCAATAAGTAGGCAAGTAAGTACATTGCCTGCTGTGGCATAACGTGCTGAGGGAGCCGTATGTGCCAGTAATGGCATACTGAGTCCTGCACACCGACTTGTACTGTAACGCTAGCAACAAGCATCCTGCAGTCCTCATGCAGGCAAAGCTTCTCAGTGATGCAAGGAAAGCAAGAGCTAGCTAAATATGAGCAGTTTACAGGCTAGTGCGAAAAAACTCCGTGTAGATGTGGGAAGACAGGCAGAAATGGTAAGTATCTGTCTCTCTAAGCTGCTAAGAGTTTCTGGCATATATAGGCACCAGACCACTTGTTGCGTGTCACAGCAGGTCCATTGCTTTCCAGTGTCCCTGAAGAAAAACAGAATTTAACTCTCAGATCCCCTTGTGATAAGTGCTCTCAGCAGAGAAGCCAGACTGATCTACCTAGAAAGTGGAATGCCAAGGCACAAAAAGAGAAGGTGAAAAAGACCTGTGTATTTTCATATAGAGGTGTAGGCTAAGTACAGTGCACATGAAAGCACATCATCCCAAACAAGAAATGCCTTCATGATCCTAAAGAGCTGTATGGGACCTACTGGCATTGCTCTTCCAGGGAATAAGTGGGGCAAGTCAGAAGCTGATGACTTTAATTTTGTCAAGTTCCTATGGCAAGACTATCAGATTCATACTTGAATGGGACTCAGGAAATATGGTCTGGCGGGGTAAAATTAGACAACCACAGAAAACTAAAGCGGCCTCAGGTCTCCAGCTGACTTCAAATTAAACAAAACCAAGTTCCTCATCCTTAGGCTAAAATTTTTAGACCTAAAAATCCTCATCTCAGTTGAAGAACTCTTCTGTAACTGTATGAAATAAATGGGCTGACCATGTAACTATCAGCAGTTACGTATCTGCATCACCAATAATACCGCTGGAAACAGTTCTCTCTGCAGAGAGACCAAATTAATCTACCTCCGGTTCCCTTTGTTCTCAGTTTTTAGTGGTTGCAGACACCTTGCAGTCTTTGTCTACCAGGAGAACTGAGACAGAGAGAGTAGAAATGACTTGTCCAATGCCAACAAGATAGCAGGGAATTCAGTCTTCATCTCTGGAGTTCAAGATAGTATCCTTAACACTGGACAGTTCTTTCTCTTTAGACTCTGCAGTTGATAGACTTCATTTCACCACTTAGAGGATGATCAAACACTGGAAAAGGCTGCCCAGAGAGGCTGTGGAGTCTCCGTCCTTGGAGACATTCAAAACCCAACTGGACACAGTCCTGAGCAGCCTGCTGTAGTTGATCCTGCTCTGAGCAGGGCAGGGAGGACTAGATGATCCCTTCCCACCTCATCCATTCTTTGATTCTGCAATTCATTTCTCTACGATGCCTCAGCAGATCTGGAAAGGGGTGTCTTGAGGGTCTGTCTGGCAGGTCTACTGCTGTTTTACAGTCTACTACTGTCAGCCCCCCCCCCAAAAGTAGTTTGGCACACTCAGTACTGAAGTGCTCACTCAGGATGAGTCTTTTGCAATAGGAACAAGGACATTTCTAAAGTAAAGATGCTGCGATTAGTTAATGAATTGTGTAACTTCCACTTTATTGCCAGTAAAGTAGGTTTCTTTAAAAAACAATGATGTCATCAGGTTCTCTTTGTAGATTGGTTGGCTATATTAAGAAACATTGACTATTCCTTTAAATACTGTGGTCATCATTATAGTCTTTGAAGAGTGGTGGTAAGTTCTCTCTGCAGGGGAACCAGTGACCTAAGGAAGCTGAGGCAGCAACAGTATTAGAAGAAACCAATCTAATAGTGAACATCAAGAAAGAGAAGGAGGTTGATGCTGGAAATTACTATCCTGTAAGTCTAACAAACTTCTATCTCATATAAATTAACCATGAATATATGAAGACTGAGAACACTTTCTTAACTCCCACATGACAACAGATCTATGAGCAAAAGCAGCAGGGACTTACACATGATAGCTATCGCCATTGGTAGAATTCTACTAGCAGACCATGGCAGGAAAAATGTAGTCAATAAAACCAATTTGGATAGTTGTTCAGTACAGTGTTTTATACTCCATCTCACTCACAAAATTAAGTCATTCAATCTAGAAAATGAAATCTGTTACGGACTGAACACTGACCATAAACAATGTCTGAGATGATAAAACAGAAATATAGGGCACAGCAGGAATCTTGGTTACATCCAGACTTGGTTTATACCTTCATTTTTTGATCTATAATAATAGTCAAGAGCAAGGTATTTACAATTTCAGAAGATTCTGATACCAGAGAAATTAAAAGGGGAAAAAAATAGGGAATGGAGGTAAGAGAGGAGTATGGAGAGAAAAAAAAGAGATAAGGGGAAGAATTCCAAACTAATGGGATTTCTCTCCTCTTCTCCTTCTACCCTCCACAAAAGCTAAAAAAAAAAAAGCCCAGCATGGGAATAATCCATTTTGTACATCATCTTTGTTTTCAAGGGATGGCTGCTCTTAGGAGAAAGCTAACTGTAGTCGGAGATGACCACTGTGGTAAGACATGCCTCCTCTTTGCTCTGCAGCACAAACAGCTTCCTGAGTCCTACGAGCCAACTCTGTTTGACACTTACACCACTGACACAGAGATAGATGGGAAGGAGATGAAACTAATTCTCTTCGATGTGGCAGGGAAGAATGAATTCAGTTACCGAAATCTCCGCTCAGTGTTCTGCAAGGACACTGACGTTATTTTAATGTGCTTCTCTGTGGACAGGCCCGACTCACAGCAAAACATCCTTGATTTTTGGGTTCCAGAAATCAAACTGTTCTGCCCCACAGTACCTATTATTCTGGTGGCTACCAAGATAGAACTAAAGGGTGATGAAGGTATTAAGAAGAAACTAACTACTCCAGGCAACGAGCTGATTAACACTACAGAAGGAGAAGTTTTAGCTGCCAGCATTGGGGCATATGCTTACTTGGAGTGTTCTGCCAAGACAAAAGAAGGTGTTGATACAGCCCTGGACATTATTAGTCAATGTGCATTAAATGAGAAAACAAGGAGAAAGAGGCACTACAGGCACTGCCAAATTTTGTAAGAGGCATGAACATTATTTTGTTGTTGGATTTCATGATGTGGAAAGGTAAGTTGATGTCTTTGTTGCTGTTGTGTGGGTGCTATAAGGGCTGCTTTTATGTTATAGGAGGAAAAAAATCCCTTATGTTTGCAAAGTGTCACACTTGAAAAGTTGGATTGGTTTCCTTCTCCACCTCCAAAACAGGCTGAAGGCACTATTCCAGATTCGAGTTGAGTACTGGTCTTGAGAAATGGAAATGATCAAGCTACATACAGTGGTCCACAGAGGTTTTTTGGTCAAGGAAGATACACACAGATTAGGACAGGAACCTAAAACAGAACTACTGGGACAAGCACAAGAACATGTTGTTCAGTGAACCTAATTCCCTCTTCCTGGTTGCAAGGCTGGGTGGCAAGCAGCTGTGCTGACAAGGTTTCCTAGTATGCACTGCCTTCTATACGCTTCCTTGAAGGATGTCCTTGGGGAAGGGTGTCACCACACACACGCACACACGCACACGTATCTAGTAGTCTGCTGTGCTAATAGCAGTGGGTTTCTGACTGGCAGAACAGGTCTGACTTTCTCTAGGATTCATTTGTAGAGCTGGCCTGGGCATGGTTCCATAAATGCATCAGGAATGCAATGTATAGCATAGGGTACAATGAAGGCAGTGCTATCTCCACCTCTTCTTCAGGCACAGGTAAATAAACTGGGGTAAAACAGCCTGGCTCCGGAGTAGGATAATCCAGTTCTTGATAGAATTCCTACCTTAAAAGGAGAGAAGTAAAAAGTCCAGACTTCAGTTTCTAAACCTCTTTGTCCTCATGGTCTGAATGTATCTTAAATCTTTCTGTCTTTCCTTAACACTTGCAGGCAGAAGACATGAAGTAAAGGGAATGCCAACAACCATGCTCTCAGCTTTGCGAGTCATTAACAATCTGGAAAGAGACTGAGACATGCTGCCAACCTAAGCAGAAAATCTCAGAGAGGCACAGAGATGGATCAAAATGGAAAGACTTGGGGTGCATCTCCATACTCCCCCCTTCTCTGAAGCACTGATTGCTGGAAGCCCAAGGAACTGAGTTATGGACTGACATTAAAGGTGCAAGTCTGGGAGCAGGCAAATAATGTGACTGCAGGATTTGAAGGCACGTGCCGTAACACAGTAAGTGGACAGAGAAACATTTTAAGGTAAACCCCTTCCAATCCTGAAGTAAAGGTACAGGGCTAACTGAGCATAACTGTCATGAACTAGGAGAACATGGAAGTCTATCACTTTTTTTTGCTGCCTTCCTTGGTGGTGGTTTCATCACTCTGGCAGCTTGGTTACAGTTTCCCGGGGGAAACAAAATGAGAGTAAACACAAATTTTTAAACTGATTATGCCACCTGGAGCCATACACTTAGCAAACTAGCTTTTCCAGGTGAGAGGCCTAGTAAATACACACTTAAAATTTTTTCTTACCCATTCTTCCCACCGGTATTTGTCTATTGATGGTACCATGGACAGAAATACTGGGGTTGGCCAAGCATTTATTATTGGATGAGTTGCTGGTTTCCTTCTGCATCACTTTTTAGTAGCAGTTTTGAAGTCCACAATCACACTGTGTCATAATAACAAATGCTTCAAGGATGACGCTTTACATTTCCAAAAGTACCTTTCTTCCAAGAATCTCTGAGCACTTTTCAACATGAATTACCAACCCACCTCTTGGTAATAAGTAGGTGTTATTTCTATTTTCAAAACTGAGAAACTTAAACTGCTGCCTAAAGTAACTGTGAACCATCTACTTCTTGGAGCTTTCTTTTTCTTGACTTGTTTTCCATGTCCTTTCCCTTTTCCCTCCTGGACCATTCTTAACCTCAATTTCCTCTCCTCTCTGTCTATAATAATCCCCTCGATGCAACGCGATATTGTACCCAAACTTTAAAACTCTTCTTTCCATGCAACTTGGATGTGAGTGTGTGCTGTGCATAAGTGCTCTCTTGATTCAGGTAATGACATACATTAGTGCATTTCAAAGAGCTGTATATATGTAGATAGGTTTAAATTGTTATTTCCATTTTATATGTGTATGTGTGGGTGGGGAGGATTAGACTGCAGATAAGTTAAAGAACACAGGTGTTTCAGGTGCCTCTGATGTGGGGTATTGAATTGGAGAGAGGCAGTTCTGCAAAGATGCTAAGCGCTTACTGCTCCCACTACTTGGAAAGTTCAGACCACATCGGCGAATCTGAGCTTACACTGCTCGTTGCTCAGTAGGACACTGGTCAGCATATTGATTGGCGTCTGTTTTCAGTCTAAATAAACAAGTATTTTCCTCCAGAAGGGTGCTTTGTTCAAGATAAGGGTAACTGGTTTCACTCCCAGTATTCACTTTACGTATCTCTGAATTAAACTTTTGTTACACTGATCTTAGTTTTTATTTCTTAACATTAACCTTTTTATTGTTTTTTGTGTGAAATAAAATTTGGCAATCTGTTTCCACTGTATACTCCTCTGCAACTGGAAAAGAGAAATCTGTGGGAGATTCTTCATCATCCTTTTGCTAAAGCTGTATAAATTCTCTTTTTGCCACTTTTGTCAAAAAATCCAAATGCTTTTCCTCTTTATCTGTCTCAGAGCACTTTTGCAAGAGCAGGCTACTATGTGGCTGTTCAAGAAATCCGTTGGACAGTTGTCCATATTTTAGGGCATCTGGCTCCCATGAGAAATCCACAGACTGGATAGTTTCCTTTTTTTGTATTTTAACATTGGCCTGTGATTCAGAAAGAAGGGGACATAGCCCAGTAGTCAGGATATTAGCCCAAGACATATGTATCTGGGGTTGCTTCTCTATTCCACCGCAAGCTACGGTCTGTCCGACTGTACAGGAGAGGCTGTGCACGTCTGCACTGAAAAGTAGCTGGACGGAAGCAGTCCCCCCCAGAGCAGTATGGAGCTCGACAGGTGGTAGTTCATCCTTCCCATTTAAGATTGTGTCTTCTGCAGCGCACGTACACCCTCTAGCTGATGTTAGGCTTCCTACCCCAGGCCTGCTGGGGCGGTGGTTGTACTCATGCATATGAAGAGTACCCCAGGCCTGCTGGGGCGGTGCTTGTACTCATGCATATGAAGAGCTCGGATACGAGCCGTGGGAGAGCTAGAAAGTCTGTATGAGACTGACGCTGGGATGCCCATATCTTAAACCTGGAACAAAAATCAATAGTGATGAATCTGTATAGAAGCAAACTGCCAGCAGTCAATATCCAGGCTAGACTTGAGCCAGAAGTGCTATCCTCTAATGCAAGTCTTTCTTCCAGTGTTGGAGGGGAGAGGGGGGAAGAAGGAGAGGAAGAGGGAGAGGAAGAGGGAGAGGGAAAGGGAGAAGAAGAGGAAAGGAAAATCACAAACTGTTTTATTAACCATTTTTTTTACTTTTGTGAATTTAAATATTAAATATGACTTTTTATTAAGGAAAGTAAAAAGCGAAGGAAAGAAGTACTATGAGAGAGAACATGGAAATTGACTGAACGTTCACGTATCATTCAACAGGGCCATTTCTAAGATGAAATACCCTGTTTACTCCCCATCACAGCAGTTTAAGACAGATGGCCAACTGAAACAGCAGGGGAATTTATACTATATTAGGTGAATATGATGATACGCATTGCAATTAAATAAGAGCTTCTTTGCGATTTCAGTGAAGCAAATATGCAAAAAATTGATATTGATGTCTTTCAGTACTATGAGAGAGAACATGGAAATTGACTGAACGTTCACGTATCATTCAACAGGGCCATTTCTAAGATGAAATACCCTGTTTACTCCCCATCACAGCAGTTTAAGACAGATGGCCAACTGAAACAGCAGGGGAATTTATACTATATTAGGTGAATATGATGATACGCATTGCAATTAAATAAGAGCTTCTTTGCGATTTCAGTGAAGCAAATATGCAAAAAATTGATATTGATGTCTTTCAGTAGAAGGAAGGAAGGAAGGAAGGAAGGAAGGAAGGAAGGAAGGAAGGAAAGGAAGGAAGAAAGGAAGAAAGGAAGAGAAAGAAAGAAAGAAAGAAAATCAGTACATAGGAGTAATAAAGCAATATGTGAGAGCAATTTTCCATTTTCAGTGCAAAGATAGTTTATGTATTTCATGCAGTAGTGTTGTAGTAGCCTGTCTGCCTAAGAACGTCATCAAGACAAGGTTTGTAGACAAGCTGACTTTGTCGGGGAAAAAACAGACAAGCTCTTGGACACTCATGTCTTCAAACACCTCCTCCAGATCTCGTCTGATAAAGGACCTGACTTCTCCCTATAAAGCTCTACATATTGTGATAAGCCATGAAAGCGATGACAATCTAGAATGTGTTTTGTATAGAGATTTACGCAGAACCTATAAGCTTCAGTAACATCTACGAAGTGACATATCAGTAGTGCTTTAGCAAAAACATACCTGCACAGCACACAGTACAGGGCTTTGGAAAGAAGAGAAGTTTGAAACTAAAAAAAGCCCCAAGTGTTATTTCCTTTTCATTGCCTGTGTCGGGGATGGCGTGGAGAGAGGGTAACACATCTTGCTTAGCAAGACCATTCTCCATTTTGTATTAGTTTCCTGTGTAAATGTCTCCCTAGTGGACAATCTATCAGTCTACCTACTAATTCATCTGGTTACTCAAAATTATCATCAGACAGGAAGCATGCTATATTTTATGAAAATAGATTCTCCTAGGCTTTTATCTCAGTTTTCTTCATAATATCTTACCACTTAATCAAATTCATTTTCTGAAATGTACTGCATCTGTTTTAAATAATTCATTAGCTTAGAGTGTATCTCCGTAATCACTCGGAGAACGACAAACTGATACAAGAGCCTGTAATTTGTTATTACGTTTTGATGGAAATAAGGGGCTGGGTCACAGTATTCCTCCACAGCAGCTCAGAGTAGCATATGAAAAGGCAGAAGGACTGCAACTTTATTTGCCAAAACTAAATTTTAGGTGTCCTTAAGGCCTTGAAAGCCTCTTTGTTCAGGTTCAT